GAGATTTTATAGGAAATTTAATTCTGAACAAAAAATTTCGTATATATATGGGTCGAAAATGTTTCCTTAAAAAGTTATCGTCAAAATTCTATATTACATTTTCTACAATGCTATTATGTTCATTTTTCATTACAATGCTATTTTAGTTAAAAAAAAGAATTATTTTATTTATGTGGAAGAAAAAGATTCTTATTTTTTATTTTTTCCAAGAAATGTTTTATGTTTCATTTTCTTTTCACCTTTTATTCTTCTTTTCATCCTTCTATGGTGATTGGTTTAAATAATGCAGAAAAGAAATATTTTTTTAGTGGAATAACCAACAAGCAAGATAGGTATTACAAATTTGTTAAGGCCATAAAACAGCATAAAATATGAAGAGTATTTAAAAAAGCTCTACCCTCGATAACCGGAAAAAAACACTTTTTTGTAATATATTTCAAACTAGTTATCTTAAATCTATGGAACATACTGCAATCATTTTGATTCATCTAAAAAATACGTTTTCCTGTACAACTTTTGTTACTTTTTGTTAAAAACACATATTTTCCCTGATATTTGTAAAGATGATTATAAGATAATCATTTTTAAAAATAGATAATGATTGTAAGATGATGTATAAGATAAAATGATTTCTGGACGATAACTTTAAGGAAACATTTTTCAACCTATATTTATAGGAAACTTTTTGTTCGGAATTAAATTTCCTATAAAATCTTGAAGTCTAGCTAAAAAAGTCGGGGATATCCTATATATAATCCCTGTTTGTTGATAGCAAATTTGTTTATCATCCATTGCTGTCATATGAAAAAAGTTCTCTCGTTCAATTAAAGTTCTTGTTCAATTAAAAATTTATTTTCTAATTGTATAAATGACATGTAAAATTTGACCCTGGAAAGTTCTTTCCACTTATAATTTCTTAGATTATATTTACATGATTTCATTTCTCATTAGTATAACTTTGGTTAATAGACTTCAAAAATATTAACGCGATGAAACTAAATGAATACTATACTCACAGAAGAGCACTAAGACTCGTATGAATAGTTAATTGAAACTTGTCCTATGTGAAATACTTAAATTTGAATTTAGAATCAGAGAGATAAGAGCTTTATTTGAGTTATATAATATATGTGACATCATATTTGCAGTTGGGATTGATTCAGCTATGAAACTCATGCTTAACTCTAAATTAAAATTTAAGTATCTTACCTGAAGCAAGTTTCAAGTAACAACTATTAATACGGACCTAATATTTGTTAAGAGATATTTGACGAGAATAATGAAAGATTAAGATTAATAGAATATGACGACTAAATTTCTAAAGCTTAGCCGTCATTCTGAAACAGTCTGTGCGTCGATCGAATTTATGATTCGCGCGTGAATTCTCTTCTTTTATAGGCAAATCGTAATTCTTGTAACTTCCGTGTAGCATTACCTACAAACTCGTATATGACGAGATTTAAACGTCCTTCACGTTCTTCCACATTTGTTCGTCGCTGTAAAATATTCGGGGAGGTGAAGGGATGCGCTCGCGAATTGCGTTCGATGAATAGCAATGCGAAAGGAACAGACAAGAACGCAACAAGATTGTGTAAGCTCTAAGCTCATATGCAATGTTTATTTTTTTTTCTTTGCATTGCTATGATGTGGCATTTACACGCCAATTAATTTCCATATATATCATCTTCAATTTTATTAAATATATCTTATTAATGCAATCATATAAATCATAATCGTAATAAATACATTCAATCTTATAGAAAAATAATTAACATAATTTTTGTATACGATAATTGGTAAATCTAATCTAATTTAATTAACTAATCGTCGCTAATAAATATAACATTAGAGAATTAATATATATATATATAT